GGATGTCTCGAGCGAAACGCTTGTTTTGCAGATCCGACCGCGACGCGGAAAAGCGCCCCGCGCGAAGGAATTTCGATGATGTCTCGACTAATTCGTTTGTTTTTGTACGATTTCCTTGAATTTTGGCAGGATGTCTCGAGCGAAATGCACGACCCCACCCTAGCACGACCATACCCCAGCACGACCACACCCAGCACGACCAGACCCCAGCACGACCCCACCCCAGCACGACCCCACCCCAGCACGACCATACCCCAGCACGACCACACCCCAGCACGACCATGACCATTCACGACCATACCCCAGCACGACCACACCCCAGCACGACCACACCCCAGCACGACCCAACCCCAGCACGACCACACCCCAGCACGACCACACCCCAGCACGACCACACCCCAGCACGACCACACCCCAGCACGACCACATCCCAGCACGACCACGCCCCAGCACGACCACGCCCCAGCACGACCACCCCCCAGCACGACCACCCCTCCAGCACGACCACCCCCCAGCACGACCACCCCCCAGCACGACCACACCCCAGCACGACCACTCCCCAGCACGACCACACCCCAGCACTACCACACCCCAGCACGACCACACCCAGTCGCACCCCCGTGGACTGTTTCGTGGCGTGTCTGGTTGAGTGGTTGCCTGTTCGCTGGGGTGTACTCTTGCGAATTGTTTTCACGGTGGTGTCTCTGTGGAAGTTTCGTGAGGTGTTCTCGTGGATGTTTGTTGAGGTGTGCTCGTTGGGATGTTTCGCGGACGGTGGCACGACAACGCCACCAGCACGACCATCCCCCCCAGCACGACCACCCCCCAGCACGATCCACCCCCACAGACACGACCACCCCCCAGCACGACCACACCCCAGCACGACCACACCCCAGGCACGACCAATCCCCAGCCCACCTCGACACCCCAGCACGACCACACACCCAGCGCAGAGACCCACAACCCAGTCGCACCCGTGTGGATATGTTCGTGCGTGTATGGGTGAGTGGTTGCTGTTTCGTGGGGTGTCTCGTGGAATGTTTCAAAGGGTGTCTCGTGAATGTTTCGTGAGGTGTCTCGTGGAATGTTTCGTGAGGTGTCTCGTGGGATGTTTCGCGGGGTGTCTCGTGGGATGTTTCGTGAGATGTCGCCCAGTTGGGTATCGTGAAAACGTGACCATGCTGCACATGTCTTTATCCCTTTCCGGGTTCGTGGGTCCATCATGTTTGTGACATGGAAGAGTCGATCGAACGTGTCTACTCTGTGTGCTCAACTCGTTCACTCACTTGTTAATGGCCTACATGTGCGTGCAAGATCAAGCCGCCCGACGTCAAGGACCTCGTCTATTACACTGCTGATGCCTACACCAGGCAGCCTTACATACATTCTGTTTCAGGGGAGCCACTGTAAGGTGAATGTATCCGTAAGGGCTTCGCCCCATGCCGCCGGCCCCCTGTCTCGGATGATGGGAGATGCAAAAGCTAAATCATGAGGTCTGGGCGCCGCCGTGAAGCAGTGTCGGGACCTGGTTTGTTTTTCCCGGAAAGGGCATGAGCCCAGGGTTCTCTTTTAGTTGGTAAACCTGTCCCCCGGTGCCAACTTGAGGGAGGCCGGCGAATTTTTTCCCTGATAAATAACGAGGTCGAAGGAGGCCGGCGAATTAAAATTTGAGGATGTCTCGAGCGAAACGCTTGTTTTTGAAATCCCGATCGATAAATCACAGGGTGCGGGCCACTTTTTTCGTGTGTTTTGAGGATGTCTCGATCAGAAACGCTGCTCCGCGAGTTTTGCCGAGGATGTCTCGGCGAAACGATTGTTTTTGCAGGCCGACCGTGACGCGGAGAAGCGCCCCGCGCGAAGGAATTTCGATGATGTGTTCGACTATTTGTTTTGTTTTGTAAACGATTTCTGAATTTTGGCAGGATTCTCGAGCGAAATGCACGACCCACCCTAGCACGAGACATACCCCAGCACCACCACACCCCACAGAAGACCCGACCCCAGCACGCCCCACCCCCAGCACGACCCCACCCCAGCACGACCATACCCCAGCACGACCACACCCCAGCAAGACCCGACCCCAGCACGACCCTACCCCAGCAAGACCACACCCCAGCACGACCACACCCCAGCACGACCTCACCACAGCACGACCACACCCCAGCACGACCACGCCCCAGCACGACCACGCCCCAGCACGACCACGCCCCAGCACGACCACCCCCCAGCACGACCACGCCCCCAGCACGACCACCCCCCAGCACGACCACCCCCCAGCACGACCGCACCCCAGCACGACCACTCCCAGCACGACCACACCCCAGCACGACCACACCCCAGCACGACCACACCCAGTCGCACCCCCGTGGAATTTTTCGTGGCGTGTCTGGTTGAGTGGTTGCCTGTTCGTGGGGTGTCTCGTGGAATGTTTCACGGGGTGTCTCGTGGAATGTTTCGTGAGGTGTCTCGTGGAATGTTTCGTGAGGTGTCTCGTGGGATGTTTCGCGTGGTGTCTCGAGCAAACGCTTGTTTTGCCAGAGCCCGACCGCGACGGGCGGAACAGCGCCCCCGCGAAGGAATTTTCGATGATGTTTCGAACTAATTTGTTTGTTTTTGTACGATTCCTGGAATTTTGGCAATTTTTGGAAGGATGTCTAGAGCGAAATACGACGACCCAGCCCTTCAACGTCCATACCCCAGCACGACCACACCCAGCACGACCAGGAGAACCAAGCACGACCCACCCCAACGCCACGCCAGAGTTCGTGACCATACCCCAGCAAACCACCCCCCAGCACGACCCGACCCCAGCACGACCCTACCCAGCAAGACCCACCCCACACGACCACACCCCAGCAACGACCTCACCACAGCACGACCACGCCCCAGCACGACACGCCCATCAGACCCCGCCCCAGCACGACCACCCCCCCGCACGACCACACCCCCAGCACGAACCACGCCCCCCATCACGACCACACCCCCAGCACGACCACACCCCAGCACGACCACGCCCAGCACGACCACGCCCCAGCACGACCACACCCCAGCACGACCACACCCCAGCACGACCACACCCCAGCACGACCACTCCCCAGCACGACCACACCGCCTTGGTTGAGTGGTTGCCTGTCGTCGTGGAATGTTTCGTGGGGTGTCTCGTGGAATGTTTCGCGGGGTGTCTCGTGGAATGTTTAGTGAGGTGTCTCGTGGAATGTTTCGTGAGGTGTCTCGTGGGATGTTTCGCGGGGTGTCTCGTGGGATGTTTCGTGAGATGTCGCCCAGTTGGGTATCGTGAAAACGTGACCATGCTGCACATGTCTTTATCCCTTTCCGGGTTCGTGGGTCCATCATGTTTCGACCCTGACCCTGGGGATCTGCGTGAGGGGTGCCGCCGAACTTCAGAAATGTGGCAAATCTCCTTTGTTTATGGACCCTGACCCCGCCGATCTGCGTGAGGGGTGCCGCCGAATTTCAGAAATGTGGCAAATCCCTTGTGTTTCTGGACCCTGACCCTGCCGATCTGCGTGAGGGGTGCCGCCGAATTCCAGAAATGTAGCAAATCCACTGTGTTTTTGGACCCTGACCCCGCCGATCTGGATGAGGGGTGCCGCCGAATTTCAGACATGTGGCAAATCCCCTGTGTTTTTCCCGGAAAGGGCATGAGCCCAGGGTTCTCTTTTAGTAGGTAAACCTGTCCCCCGGTGCCAACTTGAAGGAGGCCGGCGAATTTTTTCCCTGATAAATATCGAGGTCGAAGGAGGCCGGCGAATTAAAATTTGAGGATGTCTCGAGCGAAACGCTTGTTTTTCAGAATTTCTTGAGGATGTCTCGAGCGAAACGCTGGTTTTGCAGAGTTGGGGATGTCTCGAGCGAAACGCTTGTTTTCAGAATTTGCTGAGGATGTCTCGAGCGAAACGCTTGTTTTGCAGAGCCGACCGCGACGCGGAAAGCGCCCCGCGCGAAGGAATTTCGATGATGTCTCGACTAATTCCTTTGTTTTTGTACGATTTCCTGGAATTTTGGCAGGATGTCTCGAGCGAAATGCACGACCCCACCGCACGACCACGCCCCAGCACGACCACACCCCAGCACGAACACACCTCAGCACGACCACACCCCAGCACGACCCCACCCCAGCACGACCATACCCCAGCACGACCACACCCCAGCACGACCCGACCCCAGCACGACCCTACCCCAGCAAGACCACACCCCAGCACGACCACACCCCAGCACGACCTCACCACAGCACGACCACACTCCAGCACGACCACGCCCCAGCACGACCACGCCCCAGCACGACCACGCCCCAGCACGACCACCCCCCAGCACGACCACCCCCCCAACACGACCACCCCCCAGCACGACCACCCCCCAGCACGACCACACCCCAGCACGACCACTCCCTAGCACGACCACACCCCAGCACGACCACACCCCAGCACGACCACACCCCAGCACGACCACATCCCAGCACGACCACACCCCAGCACGACCCGATCGATAAATCACAGGGTGCGGAGCACCCCAGCACGAACCCACCCCAGCACGACCCCACCCCAGCACGACCCCACCCCAGCACGACCACGCCCCAGCACGACCACACCCCAGCACGACCACACCCCAGCACGACCACTCCCCAGCACGACCCCACCCCAGCACGACCCCACCCTAGCACGACCACACCCCAGCACGACCACACCCCAGCACGACCCCACCCCAGCATGACCACACCCCAGCACGACCCCACCCCAGCAAGACCACACCCCAGCACGACCACACCCCAGCACGACCTTACCACAGCACGACCACACCCCAGCACGACCACGCCCCAGCACGACCACGCCCCAGCACGACCACGCCCCAGCACGACCACGCCCCAGCACGACCACGCCCCAGCACGACCCCCCCCCGACCACCCCCCAGCACGCGACACACACCCCCAGCACGACCACACCCCAGCACGACCACCCCCCTCACGACCACACCCCAGCACGACCACACCCCAGCACGACCACCCCCCAGCACGACCACACCCCAGCACGACCACACCCCAACACGACCATACTCCAGCACGACCACACCCCAGCACGACCACACCCAGTCGCACCCCCGTGGAATGTTTCGTGGGGTGTCTGGTTGAGTGGTTGCCTGTTCGTGGGGTGTCTCGTGGAATGTTTCACGGGGTGTCTCGTGGAATGTTTCGTGAGGTGTCTCGTGGGTTGTTTCGTGAGGTGTCTCCTGGGATGTTTCGCGGGGTGTCTCGTGGGATGTTTCGTGAGGTGTCGCCCAGTTGGATATCGTGAAAACGTGACCATGCTGCACATGTCTATATCCCTTTCCGGGTTCGTGGGCCCATCATGTTGCACCCTGACCCTACGGATCTGTGTGAGAGGTGCCGCCGAATTTCAGAAAGAGGCAAATACCTTGTGTTTCTGGACCCTGCGCCGAATTTCAGAAATGTGGCAAATCCCCTGTCTTTTTGGACCCTGACCCCGCCGATCTGGGTGAGGGGTGTCAATTTTTACCCACCCCAGCAATTCAGACAATACGCTCAGGGCGTGGTAAAAATGCCCGTTTTGGGCCCCCCCCCCTCGCGCGGTCCATCAACAAGGAACAGTCAGCAGCAAGAAGTCAACAAGGAACAGTAAGCAGCAATAAGCAGAACTGTAACAGTGGAAACTGGAAGCTGCAACTGGTACAGGAAACTGCGAACCTTAGCCCTACAGCCTGGTGGCCCCACAAGGGGGCCGGCGGATTCCGATTGAAGTTCTGGTCGATCCAGCAGCATGATCGCATATATTGAGATGCACAGTTTGGGAGACTTCGAACGCCGTCTGTTTGCCTGTCTATCTGTCTGTCGGTCTGTCTATCTGTCTGCCTGCCTGCCTGACTGCCTGTCCCTCTCTCTCCATATGGATCTCTCACCTCTGGTTTCCTGGTATTGCTTTCACTGCGGGTGTTGCGGGAGGTCCATGGCAAGGTCAGGCTTAGTTGGCAAGAACACAATTAATTGTGTTTTGAGCTCTACAGGTCTTTGCTGTAGGCTACGTTCATGGTTCTTGATCTCCCTTCTCTCACATTCTGGCCCATTGTCTTTGCCCGTGCACGGCCTCGACTGATATGTTTATTCAAGAGGCTCACTCCACTCCGCTGACCCCTAGAAGAGCAGATGTGCGGCTTTCAATCTCGCGTGTTTTATTTGACACTGCTTCCCGTCGTGCTGCCCGCGTGTGGTAGGGGGCGACCTCTTGGAGCTTCTTCGCGGTTCCCAGGGACTTTTGGGGCCCTCTGGGGGCTTCCTGGGGGCCCCTCGTCTCGGGGGCATGTTGGGAGTCTTGGGGTCCCTCTTGTGTGTGTGGTGTGT